CCTATTTGTGACACCAGGTGGTCTGCTCGTTCCGATGCTGTGAAATCCTTAAAGGAAAATTATGAAGAAATTAAACATTGTTTACGTCATTTTTCCTCAAACAAAGATGAAAAACCATTAACAAGGTCCGAAGCTGCCGATTTACATAAAAAACTTGATACATTTGAGTATGTACTGTTACTTACTATATGGGAAAAGATTTTAGAGAGAATAGATGCTTCAAACAAGACTCTTCAACAAAAAGACGAATCCCTAAATATAGCAGTTTTAATATATGATTCATTGATAGATTTCATACAAACTGTTAGAGATGATTTTGACAATTTAGAAAAAGAAGCAGAAAAAGTTAAAGATATTGCATATACTAATGATAAAAAACGGCAGAAAATACGAAAACTATTTCATGATGAAATTCCAGAACATGAAATAAGATTCAGTGGCAAAGAACATTTTAAAGTTAATATTTTTTTTGTTGTATGCGATTCTTTAATTAGCAACATTAAAAAAAGATGTGAGGGATATAAAACTATTAACAATAAATTCAAAACAATTTGTCATGATAGTAATGTTAATGACTCTTCAATAGAGGAATTAAAATGTTATGAACAAGATTTAAACCTAGCAGAACTGAAAAATGAAGTATTACAATTTAAGACTTTTATAAGTAAAGAAAATATGTCGCCTGTATCTATGTGGTCATTTATTCAGGAAAATAATATTATTGCAACATTCCTTAATTTAAACATAATTCTGAGAATTTATTTAACACTTCCAATAAGCAATGCCAGCGGTAAAAGATCATTCTCAGTACCCCAGAATAAAAAATTTTTTAAGATCCACATTAGGCCAACAAAAATTAAATAGTTTATTATTACTTTATATAGAAAAAGTGTTATTAAATAACTCTATTAATTATGACAAACTAATTGACGAGTTTGCAGAATTAAAATTGAGAAAAAAGGCAATATAACTAATCAATCTGGGTATATTTGTTTAAGTATTATTGTTTGTTTTAATAAATTATGTTTATTTAATTTTTGTACATGTATATTATTTTTTTCCTTTTTTTCTTGGAATCCGATAATTAAATAGAACTACATACTATATGCTTTAAAACCAAACTACCAAACGCAAAGTATGTGTCATGACAGAAAAATAGGCCCGTAATTACAATGTTGCCTAGGGCCCGCTTTAGCCTTAGTCCGCCACTGCTAAGGAGTGAATATGGCAAGAACTGGAATAAATACTGTAAACTCCTGGAAGAATGGCTTTTTTTATTTTCAGAATATAACCATAAAAATGTCAGATAAAACTGTACCAAAATTATTGTCTATTGAAAACTACTCACAATTCCTTCAGTTAAGTTCATCGCCTTTAATTAATAATATAAAAATTCGCGAATTAAGAAAAAAGACTAGTGTTTTATGTCTTAGCTGCTGTTTGTAATATTCTGTTTTAAAAAATTAACAAAATAATACTTGTAACAATTACAAAAAATTTAAAAAGAAAACTGGCGCCATCAGAATGTTGCTCTTATGGCGCCGGTTTTCTTTTTTAAATTTTAAAGCAGAATTATAAAAGTTAAAGCTAGTTGGGGAATACAAATGGTTAATATGTTAACACAATATAGTACTGCTTAGCACTGCTAATGATTTCATGACTGTTAAATCTCTGTTATTGTCTAAGATTAGGTTAATTTGTTTCATAGAAGCATAAACTTTGATGTATTTAAACTAGTTTATCATATCGTTTCAAAAATATTATCTAGGCATGCTTGCTTGACTCGCACTTGGCTATCATCGTTATAGAACAATTACTGGTGATTAAAAAATTAGCACATTGAAGCTAATGAAAGCATAAGCCGGAATGCTGGGTTCGTATTTTTATATTTTCAAACATTAAAAACAATAGGTTAATTAAAGTATACTTAATGTGGCAAACATATTGTCACATTAAGTTGGCGCTGCAATCCCGACCGAAAAACATCCTAGATAACTATGCACGCTTAAAGTACATTGTATTAGCTCAAAGTGGCATCTTTGTTAGTTGCAATACGATCAAGTTTAAATACAATAACAGTGATATTAGATTGTCGATGGATATAACCACTGGTCAAAGTATAAATGTACAGAACTATAGCACCACTTTTACTTTAATGGCAGTCACAGATAGTCAAAAAGACCTGAAAAACAGCTCCGATGTTTTCGTAATGCACGCTTTTACGTTGCACACATAGTAAAGGAGATGCTGCATCGTAAGCAATGGAAACAATGATACAGTAGAACCTCGAAAACTCGGCCTAATGTGGACCGAAGGGTGGCCGAGTTTGTGAAAATGCCGGGTTATCGAGAATGGGGTTAAAAAAAATAAGTACGAGTGTTTCCTCAGAAAATACTGTACTGTACTTGTATGTATTGTTTACTTGAGAATATAACAGAGAATAAACTGCCCAAATACCCTTAAACAAAGGAAAACTACGTACTTTATGAAGGCATAAAGCCTTTACTACATGAAAATAAAAATTAATGAATACACTGTGTACAATAATTTACCTGATAAGAAAGACCTCAGAAAAATACTTTATGAAAGGTTTAATACTTTTATAAAGCTGTCTATGATGAAAATTAATTATCTAAGGATTCTTTTGCCCTGCCAGGGTGTGGCCGAGTTATCCGGAGTGCCGGGTTATCGAGAGCCGAGTTTTCGAGGTTCTACTGTATTCTATAGTCCAGACGTTCGTAATGCCACTTTTCTGTGTGTTTCGACTCGTGAAGTGAGCGATGAAACATCGGCTATTCGTATCAGAGGGCGCAGTTAGAGTTCATTTTGCAACCGTTCGAGTTCCAACCATGATAATTTTACCGGAAAGACATCTTTGGATTTTGTCAGGTAGCTCCTCAAGAGCTAGAATAAGTTCCTTAACACCTATGGTTTATGTTTTAGATTTGTGCATTACTTATGAACGGAAACTTTTAAAGCCGTTTTTTGTATTAGCTTTTTACTGAGTAGTTTAGTTAAATTTGTGTAATTTAATGGCTAAAAATAAACTTTTTTAATTTCATTAAAAACCGCATTGTTCAGATCTCAATGTTTTTACAAATAAAAACACTTTCTTACGGGTAGCAAGAGGGCACACAGACTCAATAGGGGTTCGACTAAGCCCACAATAAGACTACTGGATAGTGAGGAACAAATCAAACCACTTGTGGAAAATTCCTGAGAATTCAACCTGAACTTTGAGTTTAGGTTGGATTCTCAGAACCGTGTTTTATCATAGTAACTACCTGAGCAATTACTCAGGTATTGATTCTGGTTGCCCAGATTGTGGTAAACATTTGTCAAAATGAAAAGGGGCGTCAAGTGACATATGGATCAGTACTGTACTCACTTAAGGTTGCAGTGTTAAATATTCGCTAAATGAAAATACATTTGAGTGGCAAAAAAATTAGGGCAATGGTGATTATGAGAATGAAATCTCAGGAAGGCGTCCAGAACCACCATTTGTATGTGAAGGGGGCGGGGTTTTCAAGAATGGGAATGTCAGTCGAGTTTGTCCACGTTGCTTTAAAAGCTTAAAAAATGCGCTTCGCGAACAGTCCTTCAGTGCAACATGTCAAGTTAGTTTCCTCGGTCGTCCGGCAATTCTAAAGAAAGGATTAAACATTATATTGTTTTGGGATCTTAAAATCAATTTTTAGTTTATAACTGAATTAAATGGATTTTTAATGTCAAACTAAATTTATGGTTTCGTTTTTATAAACAAAATTATTATGTTTAATATAATAAACAAAGTTTTCCGGAAGATAAGAGGAACCCAATGTTCTTTAAAAAATAGTAATACATTTTTGCTTCCACCGACAATTTCATTCCACTAAATGAACCTTGAAACATTTCTGTTAAAAATTTTATAGTTTAAGAAAGACAGAGATTATTTACTTTGTTATCTTGTATGTAGGCTATATATATATATATATATACACACCTATTAATCATGAAAAATTTCCCTACCTTGATCGTCTTGATAACCGAAGAATATAAAGTCTAATGAAGATATTTTCGAAAACAAAAGAAATTTGTAATAAAACATCTTATCTGTTAGATTTAATTTATATACAAGGATTTAGTCCATCAAGGACACGTACTGTACGTCCGGTCGACAGAAATAAGGACCGATATGGATAAGAAATTGGACTTGACACTTTAGTCCAAACTACTGATGAAAAATCAAGAAAGATCACGATTTTTCATGATTGAGCACTGAAAATTCGAATCTGAATTGGCATATAGCCTTGCAGTAGCCTATATGCCACTGAAAGTTCAGTGGCATACAACTACAGCAAGGCTAGTTTATTTCCGTTAAAAAATTATAGTAAAAATGGTCTGATTAGAGTTGGAAATTCCTTCTAGTAATTCAAATAAAAAGCACAAATCCAGTTTTTATCGCCCAATCAAGAAAATTACAAGGGAAGGCCGAAGTTTTACGAAATGACTAAATAATAAAATTTGTGTGAAAAAGCAAAATGATCAAATTTTTTCTAATCAAATCACATTCAAATCAAAATTATTGATAATGATTCTTATTTGAATTAAATAGTAATTACATATTTTGTTACTTTATATATTTGGAAATTTACAAATTCTTTAATTTGTCCTTAGGTAAAATTAAATAAATTGAAACCCGATTTATTTGTCTAATTAAAAAAAATCACCTGTTATTTGTATAATGAAAGAAAAGCTTATTTTTATTCATTTATAAAATATGACAGATGCAAAAACTTTCCAATTCTTTTGTGCGTCAGATCCCTAAGTATAATTATGAAGAATTAATCTCTTTGGGCTTTGCGTAAAACAGAGAAATTTTAAGATTAGCCAGTTCAGAAACGTTCTAATTCAAAGTTAATATAAGCGAATAACGTTGATCAGATACAAGACGAGTTTGTATAACTACTAAAATATATTAATAATTTATAGTGAGATGCTTGCTAAAGAATTTAAAAAGTTGTTACGTGATAACCTAAAATCTCTATCAGATTGTTCAACAAAAAGTTCAGCTATTTTTTCTATTAGTTCTGGATTCTTCTGTAAACTATACGAGATCTTTCAAACAGAACTATAGTTATATTGGAAAGTTTTTAAAAAACAATGCTTTGTATTGGTTACCGGTAGTTCACAATTTACATGAATTTGTGGCACATTCATGCGCCACTGTCGTATCAAAAATGCCCTTATATGTATAAACGAAACGCGACTATAAAGATTTGCATTTGTTACATATAAAAATACACAAATAATAATATAAAATAAAATGTTGTTACTGAATTATAAGATTTTGAGAAATTTTGTTAGCAGAAAAGTAATTCTAAAATACATTATCAATTTTTTAAAAATTATAAAATAAATAAAACTATTTTAAAGAACGAATTTTTAATAACGAATTGAATACAAGAGTTTTTTTGAAATTATATAATTTATAAATGATGCATTAACATAAAAATTTAATCTATTCATGTAAACAGTTGATTTTATTTACATATTAAATTAATCAAATTCTAATAAAAATTCTTCTGATAAAAGAATGAAATACATAGTAATACTTCAATCAAGGAGAAAGTGAATGTATAATAAATATTTTGTTTTTAATCTAAGCGTGACTTAAATTTTTAATTATATATTAAAAATGGGTGCTACTAAAATTGAAAGTTTTTATACAAAGCTTTTAAACTAAATTTTTTGTAAGTTTATTGTTTTAATTGAGATAAGACAAAACGAAAAACTATTCAAGAATACAAAACACGTCAAAATGGGAACAATCAGTAACTACAATATAGAAAATTTACTGAAGTTAAAACATAAAAGCAGTCTTT